CCCGCCCTTCATAATGAACCGTCCATCCTCCCAAGGAGTCAGTGACGCTGAGGGTGCTGCAGGACCCCTGCTACTTGTGAACCTGCCCTTTTGCGGGTCAGGCTGAAACACCCAACAAAGTACCACCCCCCCTCACCCCCGCCTGGGCTTGGTGGAGATACGGGGAAGCGCCACTTTGTGGCCTCCCTGGCAGCCAGGGAGCCCTCACCTCCGCGCCGCGGGCAGGAGGAGGCCCTGCTCGTCTCTAGGCCCCGATACTTCCACGCTACAGCGGGAAAAGCTCTGGGGTCTCCTCCCCGAGTTACAAACTCCGCGCCCCCAGCCCCGCACGGCCCCCTTTCCCCGCCCCGCAGCCCACACCACCAGGCACTGCGTGCGACCTGAAACCCAGGCCCGGGCGAGTGCTGCGGCGGAAGGCGCCGCCCGCGCGGCGGGGGTGTCCGGTGGGGGTGGCGCCCACCAGCTGGAGCGCCGGTCGCGGCCAGGGCCAGGGGCAGCGCGCCTCGATTGCCGGGAGAAATGCCAGCGGCGAAGGCAGGCCGACGCGCAAGGCCTGAGCGCGCGGTGTGGGACGGAGAGTTTTACAGGTGAGCGCAGAGCGGAGGAGGGACATTCAAGCCTGGGGCTCTGGATGTACACAAAAGGCAGCCCGATGCCGCTATGGGCGATAGATGGCGCCCGGAGACGCTCAGTCGCCGCCAGTTTAAGACTGCGAGGAAGTCCCTACACCGCCCGGCCGCTGAGCCTTTCTAAAACGGAGGAAGCTGCGGGGCGCGAAGCGGCCAGAAGGGGTCTCCCGCGGCCCGCGCTGGGCTCCATCCATACTTACGCTGATTTTAGTTGCATCCTTATTTGTTACCTAAAATGCAAAGAGGGAGAGAGGGAGACATTAGACTCTTGGCCTGCAGTCAGGCTCGGGGAACTCAGACGCGCCTCCGGCATGGGGACCCTCTGCAGGCGGGCTGGGACTCGAAGCCGCTCGGTGGGGACTGAGTGCACGGAGGACGTCACAATTTCCAGGAGTGTTACCTGGAAGGCAGCAGGGCGTGCAGCTAGCATGGTGCCTGGCCTGGCCGACGAAACGCGCTGGCCAAAGACGGGAGGCTGGAACGCCACGGGGTGGGAAGGGAGGCCCGTCCCCATCTCTTCCCTGCTGAGTTTCTCTAAACCCATGAAAAGCCGGATGGAAGGGCCGCTGTGCCCGAACAAGGCTCAGTGGGAGACATGAGCAGGAACTCGGGGCGGGACGCTGGTAGATGGGAGGGGTGTGTGTGTGTGTGTGTGTTAGGGTGTATGTAAGAAACTGTGGGCTAAGAGGCAAAGGGACCGTGGCGGCCATCCCTCTGATCCTGCAAGGGCTGGAGGTGACCTGCAGGCTTCCCTGTACACGGTGCTCTGCCAGCCTCTGGAATCCAGCCCAGAGGAGCTTAAGTCTTTGGCTTGGTGCCCTGGAGACCTCAGAGCGGCAGAGGGCAGGGAAAGCCCCGACGAACAAGTGGTCTTTCACCACCCTGCACCCACCAGACTCTGGGCCCGCCGCTAGCGAGAAAGCGCAGGTGGACTGGCTGAGGTGTGGCTTTTTAGGGGCCAGGTGTTGAGTTAGGGCGGCTTCTGGAGAAGAGAATGAATGAACAGGATTTGGAGGTAACAACGGCTGTTGCTGGAGACGCTATGGGGCTGTGTGTGGGGGAGGGGCGGGGGGGGAATGGCTGCGGCACAGGACAGCGCCCTCCTTTCCTTGCCGGGGTGACCCCAGCCGCCCGGGCCTGAGCCCGGGAGCGCTGGCGCAGCGCGCGGCCGGTTACCTTGCTTCGGGCGCCGGGCACGCTGAGCGCCAGCTCCTGCAGCAGTTCCCGGGGCGGCTCCTTGAGGTACCACCACTGAATCTCCAGCGAATACGAGGTGGCTCCGCTAGCCCGGAACGCACAGGGCATTTCGATGTCCTCTCCCTCCCGGACTGTCACATCTTTGGGGACTTCGGTAAATGTAGCTGGGGGCGGGGGAGGAGAGAGGCGTGACCAGCTGTGGGGCGGGGGCCTGGGGCGACCCGAGGCGAGACGCTCCGGCCCCAGCTCGCGGGCCTTGTGCTTCCCACCCTGCAGCGACACGCGTGGCCCCGGCGCCAGCAAAGTTCGCTCCGGCAGCTGCCGGGCCGCCGCAGAGACCGGCTACCGCTGCAGGCGGCCTCCCTCCGGGTCGGGCGGGGCGGCAGGAGCGGCTTGCGCGTCTTCCCCGCGCCCACCGCGCTACCAGAGCTAGCCTGGGGCGCGTCCACGCCCGCGCCCCGCAAGCCGCCTCTCCGCGGCCGAAGCCCCGGCCAGCCTCCGAGCGACCCGGGCGCCGCCGCCGCTCCCTTCCCCCTGCCCCTCCGGGACCGGGCTGCACGCCGGACGCTGGAGACCGTGAAGCCCTCCCCTTCTCCTTCTCCTCCGGCGGCCCCGGAAAGGACCCCCGAGCCCCCGCAGAGCAAAGTCCCCGCGCTCACCGTCAGCCACGAGGAGCAGCAGGGCGTGCAGCAGCAGCAGCAGCAGCGGCGGCAGGTATCCGAGGGCGCCGAGCCGGTTCCGCTGTTCCATCTCCCGCGGGGGGCGCGGCGGCGGCGGGGGCCCGGGCGCGGAGAGGCGGCGGCAGCGTGGGCTCGGATCCCGCTCGCGCTCGGGCTAGGACGCCTCCGAGCCGGCCATGGCCCCGCGCGGCGCGCCCTCCCCCGGCCGCCGGCTGCCGCCAATCAGCCCCACTCCCTCGCCGGCTTGCCCGGCGCGGCTCCGGCGGGGGGCGCTGCGCCGGGTGCGCAGGACGCGAGGTCCCGCCTGGAGGCTCCTGGCGATGGGTCCGCGCCTCCCTCTGTCCCGCCGTCCACAGGACGATGGGGAACCGCAGTTCAGTCTCTGCCAGGCGGGCCGGGCAGCGGCTGGGCCGCGCCGGGTCCCATCGCTGGCCAAGGGAGCGCGCTCCTCGGAGCCGCGAGCTTTTCTGCCTCCCGGTCTCCTGCTTCGGCTCCCGACTGCCACCTCCTCCGTCTCCCGCCGGCCCCTCCGCGTCGCTCTTTCCGCAAGGCGAGTGGGCGCTCAGCCGCGGCGAGCGGACCTGGCGTCGGACCCAGCGCAGCGCGGGGAGAGCGGGTCCGGCGTGGCCGACCCAGAGCCGGAGAGAGGCGGGGAGGGGGGGCGGGGAAGGGAGGGGCGGTCAGTGGCTGGGCGCCGAGCCGTCCGCACCGCTGCATCACCCCGGCCCTCCCCTCCGGGTGCACCGCCCGCGCCGCCCCCGCCCGGAGCGCCCGCACACCCCCGCGGGGTCGCAGGCAGGAACCACAGTCGCTCTGCTTGGAGCGCAGCCCCGCCCCGCGCCCGCCTTGGCTGGGGGGCCCTCCCCCCAAACTCTCCCTGGCTTCTTTCCAACCTCCATCGCGGGAGACAGCCGCTCATCCCCGCACCCCGCGCGTCCCGCGGCCCTCTCCGCAGACCCCCGCCCGTACCTCCTTACTCGGGTTTGGGCGGCGAGACGCGCCGCTCTTTGTCCCAGGCCCCGGCCATGGCGGGTGGACGGGCGCCGGGAGCCCGGGAGAAGGGCGGAGCGCTGCGCGGGGCCGGGGACCAGGCCGGGCGACCGCGGCGCCGCCGGGAGTCTGCAGTGCGCGAGCGAGAAGTGAGCGCAGAGCGCCGGGCGAGCAGGTGCTGGCGGCGCGGAGAGCGCACGGGCGAGCCCGCGAGCAGAGGCCGTGAGTGACGGCAGCGGCGGCGGGGTGGGGGGTGTGGGGGGGCGCCCGGCACGACTCGCGGCCCCGGGGGTTTCCGGGCGGGGGTGGGGTTCCTGCCCCTGGATCGCTGGGCCCTGGCGCCCCCCGCGTCCCCCGCACCCCGGCGCCCTGCCCAGCGCTCACCCAGAGCCTGCCCCCCTCCAGCCCTTGCAGGAGTGCGGGCTGATCCCCAAAGTGAAACGCGTGCTGGGCGGGCTCGTGGTTCTGATGGGCCAGTCCCGCAGCCCAGCTCGGGGCGACTTGCTCGCCTTCCCGGGAGGGTCCCCAGTCAGTGGGTTTCACTACCTCTGCCCCTCATCCCCCTGCCCCGAACCTCTCAGCTCTCACCTGAGACTGGGGTGAGGACACCCCGCGGGTTCACGTGTCTGCTTTCCCTGGTCATCACCCCCCACAAGCGCGCCACTGGAGGGTTCCCCGAATGCCAGCAGAGAAGGGAGCCTACAAGGCAGATTCTTCCCGGCGCCCACCTGGCCCGGGCTGCCGTGGCACAGCCTCACAGGGGCACAAGCAGCGGGCCCTTCCCAAGCCTTGTCCTTACTGGCCAGTGGCCCCTGGACAGCGCCCTCCGCCTCTGCCTCTCCTAGGCCTGGGGTTCAGGATTCTCATCTGCGGCCCAGGAGCCATTCCCGTCCCCGCGGGCCCCTGCTGCCCATCTGTGGAGCCCTGGTGTGTCCAGGTCTCTGGCCCGGGAGGGAGGAATGCCTAGGGCCTCCTCATTTCTGGTAGCTTCTCTTTAGGGGTCCCAAGAAGGCAGTTGCCAGCTAACTTCCGTCGTCTCATCCCCTTAGACCAGGAGCTCTCCCTGAAAACTCCCACCTTCCTTTAGACACCGCTGTGGGCTGTGAGCATTAGACCCTGCTGTCCTCTGCTTCTGAAGGGAGGGGGCAGACTTGCGCTGTGCTTCCCAGATTCGGGCCCTCAGGGGGGATTCTAGGAAAGCACATTCATTTGGGGACTGGTCCCAAGCAGCGTTCTGATGTCAAGAGCTGGCCCACTGTGCTCTCCTGTCCTGAGCGCAGATGGGAGCCCAGGCCCATGGCCAGTGGTCAGGGCTGCCCGGAGGAGGAGCATGTCTGCGCTAGAGGGAGTCACACCTCGTTTCCCTTACAGTCTGTGAAATCTTCCAAACCTGTACCACCTTGTGGGGTAAGGTGTTTCTCGCCCACTGCATGAGTTGGTGTTATTTTTAATAAGGATGATAGCTATACTTTTTCACATGCTTTCCATGTTCCGGGCACCTGGCTCCAACCTCCGTGCGTTAATTTTCAACATGACCACTGATCACTCTTCCTCCGCTCACAGCCCTGCCGTGGCTCCCTCCACTCAGGACAAACCCCGGTGGCCTTGCAGTGGCTGCCAAGGTCACGCCTCCTGCTTTCCACTGCGCCCCGCTCTGTCCTCATCTAGAGTTTTCTGTGCTTTCCCCGCCCACGCGCCTCTAGCCACACTGGCCTCCTCCCTACAGTGCAGGGCACCAGGTGTGCGCCAGCCCAGGCCCTTTGCACCAGAAGCATCACCTGCCTGAGCTGCCCCTGCCCAGATGCCCACTTCACCAACTCCGTCGTGTTCTTCTGATTGTTGGTGAGAAGTCACCTTCTCCATGAGGCTCACTGGGACCACCGTTCTCACACTGCTAGCTGTCCCCACCCCGCACCCCAACCCCTCGCCCTGCTCCCCTTTTTATTCTTTCCTCAGCACTAACAGTTTTCTAACCTGTGCTAGAATATCCTGGGGTGTTGTGCTTCTTGTCTGAGGTCTGCAGACGCTATGTGGATGGGGCTCCTGGACTGCACTGTTCACGGATGCATCTCTGGCACCTCGGGCAGGGTCTGGCATAGAGTAGGAGCTCAATGAATCCTTGTGGAGAGAATGGATGAGCTCATTTAACCCCTAAAACAACCCTGTGGGGCAGACGGTTTGATTTCATCCCACTTTAGAGATGAGGTGGCTGAAGCTCAGGGGGCTTCAGGAACTAACCCCAAGGTCACACAGCTAGCAAGTGGCTGAGCAAGGCTTCAGCTCAGGTCTGTCTTACTCGGGGGTCCTAATTCTTAACCAAAGCACCCAGTTTTTCCTTACCCCAGGAGGGACACTGGTCCCTCTGCCTGGAGGTGCTGTAGAGAGGAAGTGCCCTCTGCCCTTGACGGATGGCAGCCGCGTGCAGCCCGAGCTAGCCTTGTGGCTTCCTGCATGTTCAGCTGGCGCCCGGGAACTCTGTATGGGAAGGGTCTGTTTGCCCCTCTGTCCCTCTGGTGGCCATGAGGGCAGTGGCTGCACCTTCCTTCTCTGTGTCTTTAACTCCCAGCTGGGCCCAACCCATGTTCAGGGCTCAGTAAATGTTGGAGCTGGGAGCACCGCTAGGAGTGTGTCAGGAGGGGACACTTAGCCTCTCCTTTGCTGGGGGTTTCCTGGTGGGCAGGGCAGGGGTTTCTGCCTCTTCGTCCAGTCAGAGAATCTCTGAGCTAAAGCTGTGCTGCAGTCCCTGCTAGTCCTTGCCAATGCCTGGCTGGACCCACCCTGCAGGCTGGGGTTCTCCTTGCTGTCGTGGGCTCAGTTGGAGGCCCTGAAGCAGGCATCTGTGATAGAGCATGTGTGTTGCTTCTCCAAAGGGAGGCTTCTCTGTGGGGACACAGCCACTTGGCCCGACCAACTGCCAGTGTCCCCTGAGCTCCCACAGAGATGGCCTGCTGACAGGGAGTGTCGGTCCTTTGACGCAGGGCCCATTTCCCCTGGTGGACTACGGGAACCTCTCAGAACCGTTGTTCTCCAGTCCTGAGCGCTCATCAGCAGGTAGATCAGACGCGCTTTGGGCTGTAAGGTTTTTCCTTCGGTCTCTCCACCCACAGGCTCTGAAATGCCTGTGGGGTCACTGTGCACAGGGCCCTGGAGGTGGTGACCCCTTGTAATGTGACCTAGGCCTCCATCTGCTTGACCCACCCACTCAGCTGTGCGCATCCTCTCCCTCCTGCCCGCTGTTAAGATGGGGCTGCGAGTTGGGGTTTGCGGGGCTTCTCAATACCATTTTGTGGATGGGTTCCCTGAACTCTCAAAGGCACATCCAAAAGTGCTGTTTAAAAAGACTGCCCAGTCTCTCGTGAAAGTACCCTTAAATTACAGCCCTAAGTGAATGTTTTTCCTGGAACTCATTTTCAAAATTTATTTATTGTAATGCTCAGGCCCTTTTGGAGTTTTGCTTTCGACATTTTTTTCTCAACTGACCTTTCCTGTCCTCCCCGTACCACGTACAGCAACATTGATTTTGGGTAATGTATTTTGATTTTAAGATGCAGCCCATCCATAAACTTTTCTATCAATAATCCTGGCACACTCTGTGTACCTGACAGCTTAAAGGAAAATATCAGATTTATGAGGTCTTTTATTTTTGGCCAATTTACTCATTCACTTGCCATCAGTGTCAGGGGATAAAGGCCTGAAGTCTGGGGCCAGGATGGTTCCCCTCCAAGGGAACGTGATAGGTCAGGGGCTCTAGGTCGGGGTGCGAGTGGCAGAGGCATGGTCCTCTCTGTGCCCTGGATGATGGCTGAGCGCCCCTAAGACGTGGGGGAGGGCAAGTGGAAAACCTCAGTTTGGGTTACCGTTGCCCTCCTCTGCCCTGCCTTCCAGGAGGCCAGAGGGGCTCCTGCCCCCCAAACCGCATGAGAGGGTCCTCTGTCTCAGGGCCATCATGGTGGGCCGCCCGTGCCCTTGTGCACCCGGAAAGCAGACCTGGCTTGCAGTCAGCCTGTGCTAGGCCGGCAGCAGTTAGAGACTCACAGTTGTCAGACCCCAGGGTCTGGCCTGTCATTGCTGTGTCGGTGTCACCACGCTGGATTCCCCG